AATTCCTATCCCACTCCCATTTTATCATAAATAAATTGAATAGTTTTTCTGTATGTATGATAAAACAGGAAAGACTGTTCCATTTGAATGGAAAATGCACTCCATTTGTGATCACTGTCACACAAAATCACATTCCCACCAGAAAACACAAAGATCAACATCACAAAACTAAAAATACACAGGAGATCAATACCATTCAATAAATATGCAAGCTCCTTCAGTCTCCCCACAAAAGGACCAATACTTCAAAAAACCATAAAGAAAACCCCTGTCCATTTCCAAGTGACCCAAGTAGAGGAGACAGCAAGACGCTATGCGTGCTATTTTACCCCTCCCCTGGCTCTTTGCTACCTAGAAAACTGCCTGCTCTCCACAGAGACTGAAAATGGGCCTCATTTCTTCTCGGGGGAGAACAAATTCACTGACACCTTTGGGCAGTATCCCCTGTTTCTCAGGAACTCTGGCTCTATACCTAGTTCTGCTTCCAAAGCCTCTTCATATAGTTCTGGATGAGACTTGGGATCTATTCCATTAAGATGGGCCATAGGAACTAGGAGTTTCATCTTGCTGGTTTCAGCGTGGGCCCTTGGATCCCACAGGAACTCATAGCGAGCAGGATCACTGTTAGGAATCTGCCGGTACATCAGGTACTCTTCCTGTACTAAATCCTCAGTGATGGATTTCCAGGCTTCCTCAAAATGAGTATGCTCAGAGTGAGCTAACCTGTCCCATCTTTTCACTTTTTCAGTTAGGTCCTCCTCACTGATACGGATGCCCTCTATGAAGATTAGAGACAGGACAAATATAATGATGTCGATTTTGAGAATGATTCTTCCATCATCGCCATCTAGTATCCCACTGTATGTAAGACCCAAAATGGGGACTAGCTCATATGTATTGCCAGAGTAATTCACTTTCCTGATTTTAATGCCAAAGCCCAGATACATGGACTCACAGAGTTTCCAAAAGTTCAGAGGGAAGTTGTTACAGTAATCATGGGGCAGAACATGCAGCATTTCTTTCATGGTGACCTGCTCCTTCTTTTGATACTTGTGGAGCAGAAATGACACCAACTTACATAACTTGGCATTTAGGAGCACATTTTGCAGGATGTGAGAGAAGCATGCATCCTACGAGGAGCCTGAACCCTCACAGGATTGACTCCTTTGACTGGAAGCCATGAGGACAGCAAGAACTTCTTGAGGATCAGAAGCCTTCAAATCTCCAGTGCTGGAAAATAGAGTGCTAAGCAATAGCAATTCAGCTGTTCCAAGAATCCAAACCCAGATTTTGACAAATCACAACTGAGAATTCTCCACTGCACAGTGCAAGGCTAGCAACAGAGGCAGGAATGGGTTATTTTCAGAGTCTCAACCTGGAATGTGGCCTTCTCTCTCAGCCTCAACCCCTCAGTTGATTTTGTATCTGCAGCAATATCCAGGCACCCAGCATGGTGCTTGAAAGAACACACGGGTTTCTGGACAAGGCCACAAAATGGTCTCCTCCTTGTAAACATAGGTCTGTCTGATCATGATTTCAAGGACCTTCATGCATTGGATATCTGCAAAGGCTCAGCCATCTGTGTAGCCAAGCTGTTGCTAAGAGAGACAGTTCTTCCACACTGACCACATTCTTTCTTCACAAGGTCCTGTGCGGTCACAGCGAACTTTCTCGACCCTGAGTACCAACGACCACAAATGATCAGTGGGCCCTGGAAGCAGTTAGACAGCCATAGTTTGGGACAGGGTGGGTGAGTGCAGCCAGCGGTCCCTGGGCTCTGAAAGTCACAGCCTCAGGTAGAGGCAGGCGGGAGGCTGGGTTGGGCTGGGTTTGGAGCTCCAGCAACCCTCCAAATGTGCCCGGGACTTCATTCTTCGGTACTCAAAAGTTCAGTCCTGTGACATGGGTTTCAAGTCTCCTGTCATCAGTCTACTTACAAACTATGTCCCACCTGCTCCCTGGAAGTGAGAGGGTGCCAGTAACTGATTAAGAAGCTTCTTAGCTGGGTGTGATATGAATGCTGTGATCCCAGTACTCTGGGAGGCTGAAGCAGGAGGATTACAAATTTAAGCCCAGCCTGGGCAATTTAGAGATTTAATGAGACTCTGTCTCAAGATGTGAAAAAAAGCCCAGGGAGGTAGCCCAATGTGAAGGCCCTGGCTTCAATCCCCAGTACGAAGCTCTGATTCTTTTCCTTTCTTCCCCTTACTGACCTTGAGATCAAAGTGAGCGATTTTCTTTGTGTGCAGGTAGTTCACCCCATCCAGGATCTGCTTAATGAAGCTGGTGGCCTCCTCTTCACTCAGTGACTCTTTCTGGGCCAGGAAATCAAAGAGCTCTCCTCCAGACACCCTGCAAGATACCAGTGGGGAGGCCCAGCTGTCAAGCCCTGCAGGCTCGAGGTCAGGCCAATGGGTTTGGTCCTGCACCCCCCAGCCCCCACCGGCTCCTGGGAAGGCAGAATCCTCCTTGCCCAATCTGGGGCCTGGCCCAGAGACTCCCCTTACTTCCATTTGCTGTATTCTCTCTCTTCACTGCCAAGGGCAGTTTGTTGCCAGGGGGGCTCTGCTAACTCTGTAAGTGGCAGAGATCCCAACCCCCCACATGATGGTATTAGGAGCTAGGGTCTTTGGGAAGTCCTCAGATGGGATTAACACTCTTTTATAGGAGACCCCAGAGAGCTTTTTCATCAGACACTAAATCTGCTGGTGCCTGGATCTTGGATTTCCCAGTCTCCAGAAGTATAGGAAACAAATTTCTGTTTTTGTAAGCCACCAAGTTTATGCTATTTTATGTAACAACTTGAATGGACTAAGAAAGAATTTGGTGCCAAGAGTGTAATGCAACTACGATAAACACCTAATAAATGCAAATGTGGCTTTGGAACTGGATAAGGAGGAAAGGATGGAAGAGTTGTGAGATGCCTGCTGGGAAAAGTCTACATTGCCAGGAGTGGACCACAAAGGGCAGTGCTGACAAGGGCTCAAAAGGCGAGGGGAGAGTCTCAGCCTTCTGAGAGAATACATCAGTGGCTGCAAACAGAATTTTGGTAGAAATATGGACAGTAAAGTGCACCTGGGTGAGGCTTCAGATGGAAATGAGGAATACAGTCTTGGTCAATGAAGGAAAGGCATCCTTGTTGTAAAGTACCAGAGAACTGGGCTGAACTTTGTTTGTGTACCAGTGTTTTGTGGAAGATTGAATTCAGGAGTGATGACATTGGATACTTGGCTAAGGAAATTTCTAAGCACAGTGTTGAAGGGGTGGCCTATTTCCTCTCGACAGCTAACAATAAAATATGAAAAGAGACAATTTCAAGACAGAATTATTAACTAAAAGGGAAGTTTGAAAAAGTCCTCAGCCTAATTATATCAGGGGAAAAAAAAAGAAAACCTGTTTAGGAGAAAGCAGAAGTGTGCCCACAGATTGCCTGACAAGGGAATTAGTACAGACTGGGCAGCTCAAGGGAGGCCAGGTGCTATTCAAACAACAGGCAGATTAGTTAGCCATCCAAACAGGAGCTGGGACCTACTGTCTAAAATAGTGGAAGAATGTCCCTAAAGTCATTTCAGAGGTCATGCATGACCCTCTCCCTTATAGATCCACAGTGCCAGGGCTGGCAGGACAGAACCCCATCCCAGGAATGCCCAGTGCTGCCCCCACGCTGTGGGCTCTGCTCCCCAAACCTTATTGCCACACTTCTCAGCTGCACCAGGTGTGGCCTCCCCCGCCCTCCCCTGCTGCAGGCTCCCTGCCAAGCAAAGCTGTGGGGGCGTGAGGGCCTCCACCTGGATTTCAGGGGATGCCCCAGAGAGCTGGGGGTCCAGGGGCACCATGAGAATGAGCTGGCCCTGAGTCCTTAGACCTGCATCGCCTCGAGGTGTGATTCCAGCCCAGAGAGCCTCAGGTGGGCAACTCTATGAGCTGTGCCCAGCAAAGACAAGGGGTGGGACACCCAAAGCCATAGAGCAGGACCTCCGCCCAAAGGGTCTGAAAGGCAGAGCACAAAGCCAAAACCTACTCTCAAGCCATCAGGGTTTGGACTGATGCAAGTGTCTATCACGGTTCTCCTCTCCTATGTCTCTCCCTTGGAATGGGAACAACTACTCTACTCCTGTCCCACCATCGGATTTTGGAAGCACGTAACATGGTGGATGCTATAGCATTCACAGCTGAAGTGCCATTTGCCTCAGAATGAAAGACTTTGAATATTATCTATAACCAATTTCGATGACATTGAGGTAAGACTTTGGCTTTAAAATTTGGATTTCACACCAGAGTTAATTAAGACCTTTGGTACTCTGAGGATAGAATGAATTTCACACTGAAGAGAACATGAATGTTTGGGGCCGGGATGGAACACTATAGTCTGAATGGACTGAGAGATAACACAGAGGAGCAAGTACCGGAGAAGCTAGAGACAGGTTGTGGCCCTGCTACCGACCTTGGACAATTCATTTCCTCTCTCTACTTGGGCCTCGATTTCTTCGCCTGCAAAATGAGCAGACTGGACAAGATGATCCCTACAGTCTCCTTGCTTTGGTTTTATAAAACACAGCCTCGGGCCAGGGATTTAGCTCAGTGGTTCTGCTGCTTGCCTTGAAAGCACAAGGACCCAAGTTTGATCCCCAGTACAAAAACAAAAAAAACAAAACACAGTCTCTGCATGGGTTCAAGAGAATCTAGGTACCATCCCTAACTTAAACATAAGACCCTATTCATTATACAATCTCTAAATATTACATAATGGTACTTCTGATTTTTTATAGTTTTCTTTTTACACATTCCACACTCTTCCATCCTAAGGTTAATATGACAGGAAGACCCACAGGGCAAAAAGCCTTGGACTTAGGGTGACCAGATAAAACAGGAGGTTTTGACCTGGTCAATCTGGCAGCCTACTGGGCGTGTTTACTCTCTGACAGATGCCGGGGATGTCCAGCCACCACGTGCTGCTCCGAGGACAGGACAGCGTCAAGGTCACCACAGGAAAAGATCTGGGGAAGAGATCTGAGTCGAAGGGCCTGGGACTCTGGGAATCACCTACAGAACGTGTTGGAAATGCAGATCCCAGGTCCCAGCATAGACTTTACCAAATTAGATTCTCCCAGAGTAAAGCCTAGGAAGCCGTATTTTTAGAATTTAAAAAATCCACGTAATAAGAGTAGTTAATCATCACTGGAAACTTACTCTGTGTTACGTGCTTTACATATATTATCTCATTTAACCATCACAATAACCTACAAGCTAAGGACTATTATTTTCCTATTTCAGTTTTCCTATTTCACAGCTCAGGAGAGGTTAGAGGCAGGAATCAAGTCCAGGCAGAATGACTCTCAATCACCTTATTATACTAAGTATTTCAAGTGATTTCTTCTTCCTATTCTTTTTTTTTTTTCGTACTGGGGATAGAACTTGGGACCTTGTGCTGGCAAGGCAGGCAGAAGCACCACTGAGCTAAATCCCTGGCCCTCTCCCTATTCATTTTTAATAATGGTACTGGGGATTGAACCTTCACTCTGAGTTACACCCACCTTTCTAAAGATTTCTTTTTTTATTTTAAGACAGGGTCTCATTAAATCACTAAGTTGCCCAGGCTGGGCTTGAGCATGAGATCCTCCTGTCTCAGCCTTGAAGAATGCTGGGATTACAGATGTGCACCACCACACCCGGCCTCAGATGATTTTAATATGGTCAGAATGGCTCTGTCCTGCATTTAGGAATTATTCTCTATCACCTAGTCTGTTCTAAATAAAGAGTATTAAAAATCTTTTTTCTTTTCTTTAGAAATGTCCCAAAACATGGCTAGACTCATTTAATACTCTGATTATCAAAAAAAGTATAACATCTGGGGATGATGCTATGTCACAGGAAGTACACAGCAACTTTGTGATGTGTACCAACATAAAAAATTGAACTTTTTTTTTTGTTTTGGTACCTGGGATAGAACTCAGGACCTTGTGCTTGCCAGGCAGGTGCCACACCGCTGAGCTACATCCCCAGCCCCTAAAAAATTGAACTTAAGTCCATTTAAGGCTCTTGTTCAATGCTATCAACAGCACTTTCACTTGATCTTAGCCAAAAGGCCAAGAAGTGATGAACAGCACCTTCTACAGTGACAAAAACCTTTCTATATACACACCATCTAAAACAGTAGCCACTAGTCCTGTTTTATGAGCACTTGAAATATGGCCAGTGTTGCCAGGTGTGGTGGGGCACGCCTATAATACTAGCATTCTGGGAGGCTGAGGCAGGAGGGTCACAAGTTTGAGCCCAGCCTGGGCAATTGAGCAACTTAGCAAGTTAGCAAGACACTGTCTTCACATAAAAAATTAAAAAGGGCTGGGAATGTAGCTAAGTGCCAACTCTGGGCTCAATCTCAGCACCACAAAGAGAGTAAAGAAAAGAAAAAGGAAGAGAGCCGGGGATTTAGCTCAGTGGTGAGGCCGCCTGCCTCACAAGCACAAGGTCCTGAGTTTGATCCCCGGCACCAAAAAAAAAAAAAAAAGAAGAGAGGAAAGTGACCACGGAACTGGATTAAATTTTATTTAATTCTCATTAATTTTATTTTAAAAACTGAAGAAGTCTATTTTCCAGTAACCATAACTTTATTTTTTTTTCCCCAGCACCAGGATTGAACTCAGGGCCTTGTGCTTGCCAGGCAGGCACAGCGCCACCGAGCTACATCCCAAGCCCACAACTTTACTGTTGAAACAGGATTGAATTTCACTCTAACTACTGCCTCACGTACAAGTTGAAATGTGCTAGGAGTGTAGAACACACACCAGATTCTAAAGGCTTAGTATGAAAAAAAGAATGTAAAATATCTATTAAATTTTTACATAGGTTACATGTTAAGGTGGTTAATACTTTCTATATATCATGTTAAATAAAAATATTAGTAAAATTAATTCACTTGTTTCTTTTTACTTATTTAAGGTGGCTACTAGAAAACCCAGAATGACATATGGGGTTCATGTTACATTTCTCTGGGCCAGCACCAGTAGGAAGGTTTGGCCTCTGGAGCTCACCACCAATTTACAGGGGCTATAGGGGGTAGGAATGCTTAAACAGCAGCACAGAAGGAACAGGTCAAGTCCAGATAGCAGGATAATCAACAGGTCCTCGCTTTTCCAACACACCAATGGCATCAAAAACAAGAAAGGACAGAGAGAAGGAGGAGTGAAGGGTGAGATAAGAGGGACCAGCACCCTCTGCTCAGAGTGAGCCAGGTGCAGCTGAAGTAGCCGCCTTGGTGTTGGGGATGAAGCTGGTACGATTTCCTCAGTGTCACACAGTGAGGTCGTCCTGCGCTCCTCCCCATCCCCATCCCTGTCCTGCAGCAGCTGCTTCACATGTGGGATTGAGTCTGTTTTGTAGGCTGGGGTCAAAGGGCCAGGTTGGGGACCTGGTCCTTCCACAACAAAGACTCAGCCTTCACCATGGGATGGGGCATGTGCTTTGCTTCTTGTGAAACCTAAGTGAGAAAAACAGCCTCATCATCACCTTTTGGTGGGGGCGGGAGTGGGCGCTCTTCATGAGACATGAGACAAAGGCTCTGAGGTCCTTGCCAAGCTCTGAAGTGATTACCGCCACTGCCGCGCTCTTTCTCATTCCCAAACCTGTCACTTGAGCCTCACCAGCCCCCAGGGGTATAGATGGAACCTCTGTCCCCATTTGTCAGAAGATGAAATGGAGGTCCCAAGAGAGCAAGTGACTGCCCAGGGTCACACAGTAGGTGTGTCCCTTTCACCATGGTCTCCCCACGTCACAAAGTCTAAGTTGCTGATCCACAAAGGAATGGCTCGTGCCAGTCGTGGTGGTGCATGCTTGTCATCCCAGCTCTCAGGAGGCAGGAGGATCACCAAGAGTTCAAGGCCAGCCTGGGCTACATAGTGAGTTCAAGGCCAGCCTAAACTGCATAGTGAGACCCTGACTCAAAAAAAAAACAAAAAAAAACCAAACAGCAAAAGGAACAGCTCGCAGCACCCCAGCCTGGGAGGGGAGGGCTAACAGCCCTGTTTGGCTGCCTCTGTGCCCCTTTTGTCTGGGCTTTGGGACCTATCTGTCTCCCCAGCTACACCCTTTTTGCTGACACAAGACGTAGTGTGAGAAAGCTATTTAGAGTTTGGTGAATAGAAGAACAAAGGAAATAAAACACTAAAAATATCAATAAAATGTGGAAAATAGCAATATAACAATCTGATATACCATAGAGATGGTGGAGCCTCACATGGGGACAGCCTATGTGGAGCCCTTTGCCAGTGCTCAAATCCACAGTGCCACCTCACGAATGCAGGGACGCCAGTCCCACCCTTGTCCTTTTACTCCCGGCCCCAGGCCAGGTGGGATGAGGCTGCAACCTCAGGGAAATCTCTCAGGCTAAAACAATAACCCTCCTATTCCTGCCTTAAATAAACTACCCCATAAATACAAAAGATTAATGAGCCGCTATCCTGTCGCGCAAAGCCGCTGACATGAAGGCCCAGGCTGGGTGCGGACTTGGGGAGCAGCAGTCAGCCACATGTTTGAAGGCGTGATCCGGGGAGAGACCTGGGGAGACATGGTTTCCTCGGGATGAAGAAGGGGACAGCCACTGTGGGCCCTGGAATGTCCCCGAGAGAAAGGCGGGAGGCTGCACAAGCCCCGGACACTGGGCTGCGGAGAGTCATGTCAGTGCTCAGCGGCCTCTGTTCAATGCCCAGCGAGGAGGCTGGGGTTTAATTCTTTTTCCTACTAACACAGTTCCTTCTTTTTCTTCCCTCCCCTCCCCTCCCTTCCCTTTCCTTTCCATCCCTTTCCTTTCTTTCTCTTCCTTCCTCCTCTTCCTTCTTCTAAAACAGTACTAACATAGTTTCTCTCTCTCTAGAGACAGGGATTTATATAGGGGCAAAGCTCCGTGGTAGAGCACTTGCCCAGCATGTACAAGGCCCTGTATTCAATCCCCAGACACGGGTCTGGCTGTGTTCCCCAGCTGGCATGCAGTGGCTGTTCACTGGCACAATCCCACTGCTCATACTTAGTTTGGGCTCCCAATGGGCATAGCTCAGTACAGTCCTGAACTCCAGGGTTCCAGGGATCCTCTTGCTCAGCCTGCTGTGTAGCTGGGGCTACACACAACATAGTTTCTACCAAGGGCTACTCAGCTCTAAAACCTCTGCTTAAGAGTCATTTCTCATCTTCAAAGTTTTTCTCTTTTCTTATTCTAAATCTCTTTAGATTGAATATGAAAGCTTGGCCTGATATCCTGGCCTTCTCACTTCTCCTCATAGCATTCCCAGGATCACCCCTCCCTGCTGACCTGACTTCTGTCCCCTTCCTCGCTGCAGGCTGGTCCTCCTGCTGAAGGGTTTCCAGGATTCCCCCCAAAAGGTGTGCACAGACCACCAGAGCAGGCAGTGATGGGGAAGCCAGACTCGGCTCATTGCCATCACCCTGTGGCACTGTGCCCAGTCTTTTCTGGAATACAACTGCCAGGGTGCCACTTTTCACAGCCTCCACCGAGTCAAGGCTGCCCCAGAGCTGTCGGGACGGCAGTGGGAGCTGTCTTGCAGGGCAGACATACGTCAGTCAGGGCAAGCTCCACAGAGGACATGAGTTAATCCACTGACATTTTGAATATATTCTTTCTACCATACAGACGTCAACCTATACAAATCCTCCCCTACTCTGCCTTCATCAGCCAGGACTAGAGGCAGCTGCTTCTAAGAAGGTCACAGGTAGAATGACAGCAGAAAGGAACTTTGAGTTAGGGCTGGGCATGTCCACCTAGTACTGGCCACTTGAGCAGAAACCAGGAGGAGGCCCTGCAGCAGATGGCAGCTGCTGAGGGGGCAGTGGAATGAGGGCAGATTCAGCCATCAACTCTGTAACCAAGCAGGTGGATACAACACCAGGTTCAACTACTGGGCAAATCTGCTAACCTGCTAGGACACACAAAGATCCAGATCCCAAAGGCTCCTGACTGGCCCAAGGGGAGTCACCAAGTCCATACACAAAAGGCCAGGGACTCCTCTCCTGGTTTAGGTACAGTCTTAGCAAACTTGGGTCTTTTTTCATCTCATAAATCCACAAAACTATGGGCTGATCATGAGCTCTGCCGGGAGAAATGGGCTTCTTAAGAGCATCCCAAACCCCACCCCCTGGGGTCCTACAAACAGGGAGAGCAGGCAGTTTCCCCAGCAATGAAAGAAAGTCCAAATACAATGACAACCAGAATGAAGTTATCACTCTAAAAATGAACAAATGATGAAATATCTTTTAAAACAAACGACCTGGGGCTGGCAAGGTCGTAGGCAAATAGGAACACTCCTATGTCGTGGATGGTATGGATAACCAACCCCACCCTTTGGAAGAGAGGATATCAAGAGCCTAAAAGTGTCAGCCTTTGACCTGGTCCTTCCACAGCTGGGGATTTCACTGAAGCAGTCAATTTAAAAGCAAAGGGGAAATTCACAGGAAGAAAGTTGTTTTATCAGTAGTAAAATCTGGAATGGTTAAGAGCTTGGAAAATAAAAACCAAATGTCCAACGATGGGAAATAGTGATATATAATTCAATGAAACATGATATAATCATTTAAAAGAGAACAAAATGCTATTTGTGGAGTTTTGTTAACTGGAGGGAAACAGTAGAGCAGGAAATTATACAAGCACAATTATACACAAATTGAGATTGAGAGGAACCACAGGAAAACATAAGTAGCTATGTTTGGAGTGTATGATTATGAATACCTATAATTTCTTGACAGTTCCTGTGAAGTTTTCTTTTTGTTGTTACTTTGTTTGTACTGGGGATGGGGCAGTTTTGATCACAGCCTCTTAAAGATTCAGCCCTAGCCTTTCCAGGAAGATCGGCCTGTCACTCTCTGCTGGGAATCAGTATGCTGACTGCTGTCCCTCAGCCTTGGGACATGTGCAGCCTGGGCTACTCGTCAGGTTTTGTCCAGCTCAGACAGGTGCAGGCACCAATCGGTTTGAGAAGTAGGGAGATCTGTGGGAGAAAGAGGATACTGGATGCTGGAGAGGGGTAGAGCATGGTGATTCTCTGCATTTAAACATTGTGATGGGTAATATAAGAATCAAGCAGAAGATATACAAATGCCCATATCCTGCTTAAATCTGTATCTTGCCAATATCAGGATAGCTCTCAAATTAGAATGATCTTAAGGCAGATTAAGGACGGCTGCCTGGCTTAAGAGGTCAGACCTATATGCTCCTAAAGGAGTGAAGTGACTTGCCTAAGGTCACAAAATTAGGGATTGCTAAGACACCTGCCACCTCTTCCCTGCTAACTGGCAAATGCATTCAGGCTTATGAAGGTCAGAACATTCTTATTTCAGGTCCCGTGGCTTGAGTGACACAGCCACTGTGACTTATGCCACAGCCCAACTCAGACCCTACTTTGTGCCAGGGGCCTTCCTGCCCACCCATGGAGATGCCTTCAGGAGGATCGACCCCTTGAGTCTTGGTGTCACCTGTACAAATTCTCCCAACTGCTATGACATCTTCTCCAGCTAGGCCACAATAAAACTGCCTACTTTATGCTCACAGCTATCTGCATAACCCACGTGGACTCTAGGCCTGGCCACAGGACCTTGCAAGTAACCTGGCCTCTTGTGTTCCAGTCTTTACGATGGGGAAATTCCAACTTCCTGTGTGACAAAGATTAAATAAGCTAACAGAAGGGCTCAGAATGGTAAATGTAAAATAGCCTCTCTTGGGTGTAAGATGTTTCGATCATCACAGTCACTACAAGGACTAAAATGAGAAATATAATGCACCTTAAACAACAGCAACTGCTGTAATCATAAAGGTATCAGGCAGCACAAATGCAGTGGACTGTTCCCAGCAAAGGACTGAGGCGGGCTGTGCAGCCTCCCCTGCTCCCTTCTGTCCTGCCTCTCAGCCTCTAGTGTGCTCCTGCAGCCAGGAAATCACCCAGTGCCAGCTGTCTCTTCCCTTCAATCCCGGGATCCAATAAAAGCCAGACAGCCAAGTTTGATCTCCGGTACCAAAAAAAAAAAAAAAAGCCAGACAGACCAGCACTCTCTGCCACTGGTGCACAGCAAGCTCACCCCTCCTGCAGCCCAGTTCCAAAAGGAAGATGGAGGTAGCCGAGGCTGAAGGACAATGCCCACCCCTGAGCCAGCACTCTGCTGGCCCCTGCTGCCCTCCACCCACGGGTCCCTGGCGCCCACTCACAGCTCAAGGATGAGCACCACATCGGTGCGGTTCTCGTAGACATCGTGCAGCGTGATGATGTTGGGGTGCAGCACCTGCCGCAGGATGCTCACCTCCCGCTCAATCTCCTCCCGGCACACGCCCCGCCGGCTGGCCCGGCTCTGTCGCTTCTTGATGAACTTGGCTGCGAACTCCAGCCCTGTGCTCTTCTCCCGGCACTTCTTCACGATGGCAAACTGGCCACTGTGGGGACACAGACCCACACAATCAGGATGTCACTGTGGCCACTGGGGAAGTGACCCCCACTGCTGGGTACAGAGTCATTCTATCAGGGCAGGAAGTCATGCTGCCAACTGTCATCCCCACTGGGGTGATAACCAGTGACTGAGATGCCATGGGTGCTGGTTTTCCCTTCTGTTCCTATTAATCCTTTATCTTTTACTAGGAATGGCTCTGGTGTTGCTTTGTTTTGTTTTTGCAGTACTGGGAATTGAACCCAGGGCCTTCACCTTGAGCTATATCCCAAGGCCTTTTTAAATTTTTTATTTTGAGACAGGGCCAGTGAGTTGCCTGAGCTGGGCTCACACAATGATCTTCCTGTCTCAGCCTCCCAGGCGCCAGGATTTCAGGCGTGTACCACCATGCCAGCTTGGAAAGGACCTTGATATTGTTATTCCCAGGGCACAATGGTGTACACTGAGGCTCTGGAAAGTACTAGCTTGAGTAAGATGACACAGCAGTGTCCTTGCAAAGCCTCAGCTGGAACCCAAGTCTAATCCACCAAATGAATCCACCAGGCTAGGATGTGGGATCCTGATGAGGGTGGGGCTTGGGGGAGGGAGGCAGCCTAACAAGATTAAGCATCATAGTGGGGGACATCACAGTGTGACCCAGTGCTGTGAAATTAGGAAACTGAGCCCCAAGGAAAGGTCAAATGACTGGCCTGAGGTCATTACAGTGTTAATGGCAAAGCCAGCTGCCCAACCTGCTGTCCACAAGGCTCACCAATGATTACAGGAGTTAAGAGCCTGCTCAGCCCCTTCAGGCACTAAACCAGGGCTGGTCCAGGGACTCCTTCAGTCCAGACACTAAGACACAGATCATGAAATGGCAACTGTGCCAGAGGCACAGGCAGCCCTGAGCCAGCTCTCTGAGTGCTCCATGAAAGACCAGCGAGCTTTGCTTCTCCATCTCCACACAGGCCACGAGCAGGGTGGATCTAAGTCTCGGGACACTGCCAGAGGCCACCACTCCTGGGACGTCCTCCTACTATCCCTCCACACTGCCACTCCCAATGCCCAGGGCTTGGGTAACTCAGATAGCTTTACAAGAGGTCACCAGACTCCAGACCTCAGATGTGCTCTCATAACAGCTCTAGGATAAAGGCTCCACATGATAAGATCCTCTGGATATTCGTCCCAACTTCAGAAAATACCACTGCAGCCAGAGCACTCTATTCTTAGAATAATCCTTCAAAACAAGCCAAGCGACAACGAGAAAGGCAAGTTAAGCAAGCAAGGAATAGATTCACCAACACTCAAACAGCATTCTGTGCCGGGCACTCTGCAAAGCCTCCCAGACACAGATGTGCCTGTCTCTGCACCCCCATGCCCACCCTGTCCACTCAACACTGCAGAGCATCTGCTCTTGCTGTGCAGGATGGGTGGGGACAAAGGCACAGAGGACAGGTGCACAGGGAGCTCTGGGAGGAAGAGGTCCCTGGGTGCAGGGCTGGGGAGGGAAGGCTTTCTGGAGCCTAATTCGGATTGCACGGTCCCCTAACCCTACAGTTTCAGCTATTTAGCAGCCCAATATTGGCTGTGAGCTGTCCACACCTTCGGCGCTGACGCAGGTGGGGTGACGCCAGAGGGAACACATTCACTGTGATCTCTGACACAGATGGCCACTTGGAGCCACTTCGGGCCTCGAGGACATCGGGTACCTGAGTAAGTGCCAGCAAACACTTGACAAAGCTTCCTGTCCCAGACGCTGCGAGTCTTAGCAGCAGGGCGGCCAGACTCCTCTCCTTCTGACACGTCAAGAGGCCACTGGCGGGGCTGGCATTCCAGAGTTCCTGTGGCCTTCAAGTTTCTCCTTGGCAATGGAGAAAGCGAAGCTTAAGGATTATCACTGATCTGACTGAGGTGACAGAGCGCACAGGTGGTGGCAGGGGGCTCGGTTTGGGACCCAAATCTCCCAGCTCTCACTGACTACATGAAGACCTGTGACAGGGCAAAGGCAGTTTTATAAAGTAGTAGAACTACCATTTTGGGGTCACCTGGATGAAGCATTTCCCTCAGAGAGGAACAGAGGGATTTTTCTATATCATGTGCCTGAAAAATTCCTCAACCTCTCAAAAAAACAAATGAATGTTTGATCTCTCCTCCTGTGTTCTCCTGATGGGAGCCCCATACCAGGCACCACCACTCATGGCATCCTCTGCACTCCAGACGCCCCAAGCACTGGCTTAGCCTGCAGTGGGGACCCCCAGGGAAAGCCAAGCCGCTGGCTGGTGTCCCCTTCTCCTTGAACTGTTTGGGAAAAGCAGAGAGCACCTTCCACCAAGCCAAGCCCCAGGGTTTAGGCATCAACAGCAGACTTCAAGGCCAGTCAGGCCCAGCCTACTGGACTTGTTGATGCTTCCCCTAGTCAAGTCCTTGTGTCTGAGCATCCATCAGTTTCTTCATCTGTAAAATGGGAATCATGATTCCCTGCTAGGCAACTGTGAAGAATGGAAATATTGATGATGGTGGCCCCCAGTTAGCACTGACCACTGGCTCAGGTTAGGCTGAGCAAGAGGCACCAGAGCCAGGATCGCTGATTCAAATGGTGTGGAATGTGTGGGCAAGGGGATGGCATCAGTTTAAAAGCTCCTTCCTACCCCCGTGATTCCAGTGCATAACCAGATGTGGGAATATCTCTGTTCTAAGCAATTAGTCAACTTTTAATCCTAGAGTAGTCAGTACAACACATAACAGAATCCCCAGGGCTTTCTGTTGAGGTTGTGTGTTTTGTTTTTGAGACAGGGTCTCTCTATGTAGCTCAGGATGGCTTTGAATTCACTATGTAGCTCAGGGTGGCCTTGAACTTACTGGGATCCTCCTGCCTCAGCCTCCCAAGTTCGGGGATTAGGTGTACCACCACGCCCAGCTCCCCTGGGGAATTTAAAAATGACTGGAATCTGGATTTCACATCCAAAGATTCTGGTCTCCTAGCTCTTTGCTGGAGCCCAGAAATGTAAAAGCCCCCTGGTGACTGCCTTGTGCAGCCAGGCCTGAGAACCAATGATAACAAAAGAAATCACACTAGTTACTGCTATGATTCCCTGTCCTTTCTCACTAGCACTTTTTGCTTGAGGGAGGTCAGCAATGCATAACTGCTGGGATATTAATCTGCAAATGCCAATGTGCAAGTGCAGAACCTGCTGTGGTGCCATTGCACCCAACAGAGGGCACCAGCAGACCCTCGGGCAGGTGAAGACCGGGACGGTGTCTAAGCCCCTAGGAAGGCCCCACTGCCAGGAGCTGAGACCTCATGCAGAAGCACCAGCTAGGCTACAGGGGTGAGGGGAGGGTAGCAAGGGCCCCTCTAAGTTAAGACAGAGCTTCTACGAGTTATTCAGGGCAGGAGCAGAGGAGAGCTAGCCAGTCTTTCACAGAGGTCATTCCCAACACTAGTTCAAACATTACGGGAACAGAGCTGGGGATGTCACTCTGTGGTACAGCCCTTGCCCAGCAGGTACAAGGCCCTGAGCTTAATCCCCGGCACCACCGGAAAAGAAAGTATGAGAATACTGAGACATCGATACACATATGCCAAGCCCACATATTCTGACTTCCCTGCCATGGCAAAAGGCAACAGCTAATCTGTGGTCTAAGAAAACAAAGAGAGCTCTTGCAAGGTCAGGAGCTCAACTCTTGGTCCTGACCAGCCATCAAAGTGACGCCTGAGAAAAGTTTCTGTCAGAAAACACCTAAGAGAGAAAATGGTTCCCTCTCACTCCAAACTCCTGTCTCCAGGCTGGTGTCAGAGTCCCTCTGCTCACCAGCAAGCCCCTGAGCAGCTGGTTCAAGAACCTGGGCCTCTCCCTTGTCAAATGGGGACAATCAGGGTCACTGGGAGAATCATGACATAATGTCCCAGAAAGGACTTTGCCACCCAGCTGCAGACAGACAGAGGTGAGGCGGGGCGATTTGGGGCCAGAGGCTGGCTTGCAAAAGTCACGTAGGAGGAAAGTTTGCTAAGGGACAGTAAATCCATTCCTTCCCTGCTATGCCAGCACTCCATCCATATGTCAGGGACGCTCCCCTCTTCCCAGGCCCAAGGCTCAGATCCTCACTCCCCGGCTCCTGCGGATGGGCTTTGCTCCAGAACCTGGCTGGGCCTTAGGCGTCACTTCATGAGGGCTGCCCTGTGGTCTAAAAAGGAGTACAACCAGAACAGCGACTCAGTGCTTGGTAATGTCCCAACCTGGCTCCTAAAGTGTGAGGTAGAGCCTGGTTCAACCCCTCAACAATTCTTCACTACCAAAGGGGAGTAACTCAGAATAACCCACACGTCACACCATGGGATAGACTTGCATAGCAATGTGGCCATTATTATACTTATTCTCTTTACAAGCTAATTTTTTCTACCAGTACAGGGGACCAAACTTAAGGAGCCCAAGCCATATCCCCAGCCCTTTTATTGTTTGTTTTTTCTTTTTTGCAGTACTGGGGATGAACACAGGGCCTTAACTCTGAGCTACATCCCCTGCCCTTTTTAAATTTTTGAGACAGGGTCTCATTGAGTTGTTAAATTGCCCAGGCTAGCCTTGAACTTGCAATCCTCCTGCCTCAGCCTCCCTGAGTCCTGGTATTACAGGTGTGCACCACCCCTGGCCCTTTTTATTTTTCACTTTTGAGACAGGGTCTTGCTAAATTGCAGGCTGGGCTCAAACTGATAACCCTCCTGCCTCAGCCTCTGGAGTAGTTGGGATAACAGGCATGCGTCATCACACCTGGCTTCATAAGCTAATTTTATACTTGTTCTTTCTTTTAATAGTTGCAGGCATTATCTTAGTTCTATTTTACCGATAAGAAAATACAGGCTTGGAGAAGTTGAGTGATTTGGTTAGCAGGGCTAGGACACAAAACCTTCTCTGCTGACCCAAGCTTTAGGGAGACTATCCAGCTAACTAACCTACAGCAGTGTAGTAAAAGCTGAGGAGAGGGACCTCCAGAAGGGAGGACAAGCTCCCCTAA